TTAAATTTATAAACTGACGAAATATAATTTCGTAAAAATTATTAAGTGATTTTTTATTGTACATATTCTCGGGCAATATTGTGCATTTTATTCATCATTATTGTGCATTTATTTAGCTTTTAGTATATTACATATTAGCCCTAAGTACTTTGGAAATTGCATATGAGTCCCTTGAACATGTCTAATTTCCAATGCATGACCCACCACAAAATCTGTACAAATTCGTCCCCAGGCACAATTTCTGTACAAATTTGTACAAATCCGTCCCCAGGCTTTGATCAAATTTCGATCACCGCCGCACGCCGCCGCCTTGACAGCGGCTCTCGACTCCATCACTATTGCCGTCAACCATCGTGAATCTGCTCATCTTCACAGCGTCCGACCCCGATTCCAGCGACACCATCTCCGACTGCAAGTGTAGAACTCGTCGCCGATCAGAGCCTGCTCATCGTTACCACATCATCATCGTTCACAGCTTTCCGCCCCGCCCCTGCGACCATGAGGCTCCGAGAACACGACGAAGAGACCACCGCTAGATAGTGGCTTCGAACAACCTATCTGCCGGAAAATCGAAAATTGATCACGGCGATGTCGCGGTGGCAGAGGCGACAAATCTCGTGGTGATTCCGGCGGCAATGGTACAGTCGGCGACCAGATTCATGGAGATTCCGGCATGGCTCAATGTTGGATGCAGGGACCGTCGGAGATGATGGCGGCGGCGCGGCAATGGGAGTGTTGGCATGGTCTGTGACTGCCCGGCGCTAGTGGGCTCAGTTCATGTGTGTGTGTTTTTCTGGAAAATTAGTGCGTGATGTGTGTGAGAGAGGGGGAGGGGTAGGTGATGGTGTGTGTGAGAGAGAAGAGATGGGGTACGTGATGATTAATTAGGTTGTTGGAGGATGGTGGATGTGGGTCCTACTAAGTTGGCATTATTTATTACCACTTTACCCTTAGCTATTGGTCAAATACATATATTTGACCATAATATTACTACTTATTTACTATATTGCCATTAATGATTGACCATTATTTATGAAAGTTTGACTTGATCATGTTCATTGATGGGATGGATCTAATGGTCCAGAATCATTCTTATTTGTTTCATTGTGTTTCATTCTCATTTGAGCGCACTTATATATATATATATATATATATATATATTAACATGAATTTTATATGTTTCAACTCTTATATCTACACTTAAACAAGTAATTATAAGCAGAAATATATATATGTTTTAACGTGACTTACAACAGTAATCGTACCAAATTGTATATATCCGGATGCTAATACCCGAAATCCCTCGCTCACTGAAAGCAATTTAAAAGAAAACATACGAATTAAAACAAGAATACTCTTTTAAACCTGGAATTATAAAATAAAATTATTTACGTTGTATTAACAACTCTGTTTTTTAAAACCATAACTCTGTTAAAAAATAAAAAATACTGGAATAATCAAGAACAACACCAATATGTTATTCAGCATCTGATGAAAAATCGATTTTTTTTAAACAGAAAAACAAATGATTCAACGGGATGTGAATCTCTAATTAGAAATGATGATTGATTCACATAGAATGTGGATCTAATAAATCTATATCTCATTTCCAATTTTCATCATTTTTTACTGAGACTTTTCGGATTTCGACCGAAATTCTGAAAATTGAACTAGATCCATAAAATTGGAAATATCACTGCCGATTGACATTTTTTGTGAACAACGAGTCAAAATCGGACTTGCTCACCTACCAAATGTATGTGCCAAGATTTATTAAGTGATTATAGAGTGATTTTTACGAAAGAAATTTAATGGCTTGGCTAATAATTTTAATTAAATTATCGTGGTTACTGGTTCTAATACGACTATGAGGTTTTAATTGATTTATAGGATGTTAACAAGAGAATTCCTATCAATTGGATAGACAATTTTAGCATTGATGTTTTAATTTGATAATTAAATTATATTATTTTTTTTCAATTAGAAATCATTATCCTTAATTAAGAAATCTTATTTTTCACATAACATAATATGATTGCAAATAAAAGCAAATACTTTAAAATAGAATATTATTGCATTTTACTATTGAAATGAATTCCTTATTAGACTTAATATATTTAATACTCATATATATATATATATAAATTTTTAATTATTATGAAATAGGATAAATTTAAGAAATTGAATAGAATTCATTTATGGTTCAATATTTATTTAATTTATTTAAATATCTTTTAATATAATTACGTCAATATATAATATTAATGTACACTGAATATTTCTTATATATATATATATATATATATATAAATACTACTTTTATAAGTATTATAAATAATAATAATAACATTATATAACAATAAATTTCAGAATAAAATAATAATTGAGTATTATGATGAATAAAATTAAAAAAAAAAGTTGTTATTTTTATATTAGAAAATAAATATGTGTATCAAAATATTATTTATATTAATATGAATTGATCCACGGGCTAACATATTTTTAAAATAAAGTTAAATCTAACAGAAAGTCGTTGAGTCTATCAACCAATACATGTCGTCATTGAATCTAACAGAAGGTTGTATATATTTGCTCCGACAGTACGTGTAAATCCGATTTGAATTCTGACTTCTTGTCAGAAATCCACACTCCTGAGTTCTTAAATTCTCCCAAATGTTCTGGTACACCAAATCATGAGTTGCATTTGAAGGTGGGAACTCCGGTTATACTGTTGCGGAACATGGATCATTCTATGGGATTGTGCAACGGGACACGTTTGGTTGTAACAAGACTCTCCAATCATGTCTTAGAATGTAGGATACTTACGGGCGACCATGCAGGGGATAAAGTGTTGATACCTCGAATGACGATAACTCTTTCGGATGCAAGAGTACCTTTTAAGTTTCAACGAAGGCAGTTCCCTATCGTGCTCTCTTATGCAATGATTATTAACAAGAGTCATGGTCAATCCTTGTCCCACGTTGGTTTGTTCTTGAAGAAACCAATTGTCAGTCATGGTCAGTTATATGTTGTTGTTTCGCGCGTCACCAACGGAAAGGGTTTAAAAATTTTAATATGTGGTGAACATGATTTGCCCTCAAATCAAACAAATAATGTTGTGTACAGAAAAGTTTTTAATAATATATGCTTTTTTTATTTTTATTTTTGTTTCTATAATTAAATATTAAATTTAGTTAATTAAATTTAAAATAAGTACTTCAATATGTTTTAAGTTAGGCAAAGCACGGGTACATATTAGTAAAAGAGGAAAAAGGGGAAAAAACAATATGGGCTTGCTTTGGTTATCCATATCCATAAATAAATACCATTTTATCTTTACGGCACTCATATCTGCTTTCCCACCTCACTATCTTCTAAAATTTCTGACTTTTCTCGAGTGGATATATATACACACATAGCTTTTAACTGATTCACAAACGAGCACCCCACACCACACATGATATTAATTGCCCAAAAGCTTTAGTATAATTTTTAGTGAAACAAAATAAATATTAAGGCGCATGGGTAACGTGGTTGGAAGAATAAAGACGGAAAAGAAGGCCAAGATTATGAAAATCGACGGCGAGATTTTCAAGCTGAAGCTTCCGGCGACCGCCGCGGACGTGCTTGACGGTTACCCAGCGGGCTACGTGTTACTGGAATCACAATCGGTAAAGAAGTACGGAATTCGGGCCCCGCGATTACAGCCCGAAGAGTTACTTGAGCACGGCAAGATTTACTTTCTGGTGGATATTCCAAAATTTCCGGAGCCCGAAACCAGAAGGGCTACTTCTTTTGCCCATGCTGGCGGCGCTAAGGAGCGGCTGGATAGGTTGAAGATGGCAAAGCGGTCCGCTAGTGATATCGGGCCGGGCTCGGTTCGGGTTAAGATGCGGGTCCCGAGGGCCCAAATCGAGAAATTGATGGAAGAGAGTAGAGACGAAAAGGAGGTTACGCAGGGGATTATTGATCTTTGTTTGCGGAATTCCAATTGATCAATCAAGGTTTGCTTTCCGTGTTAGATTAGCACTGCTTTGGTTTATAAATAGCTTTTTTTGTTTTGCTGTTTTGGAATAATAATCGTTGCATTATGGTGTGGCTTTTTACTACCTTTACAGGAAATCTCATGTTAGCGGATTAACGTGAAATTAGTGGATTGGACTTGTTTGACTCATCATGTTCGCTAATTATTTTGTTTGATAAATTGTTTATTTTATTGTTTTTTCAGTTCGAAATGCTAATTTTGAAAAAATGTCATTATAAGAGTATTTTGAAAAGAGATAAATTTGCATAGTAACATGTCAATTTATTTTTTTCGAAATATTTATTTAATTCGTTATTTGTCAAACAATTATTTACAAACTGCTAATACAATTCGTCAACCAAAACAACTATTATAATCTGATCTCAGCTATCGCTAATTTAATTAACTACTTTCTATCCGTTCTCAACTAATAGCCAAGCAAACATTTATATATTTTTTTCAATGTCAATATGATTCGCTGACCAAAGTGTTAAATATATAGTTAGTTGCTAAATCATTAGAGGGAATGAGATTTAACCTCTAGAAATGAGTTGATAAAATGTAAATTTTATCTTGTTGAGTGGAGATCTCAAGATCTTGGTTCAAAGTTATAAAAATGGCTCTTGGAACTATTATGGGGGTATTATCTCTTATCCATTAAATAGTGAAACTCGTGGTGAGTAGGATAAGTATTTGGCTTTTAATGATTTTTGTAATATATAGGCAGGTAATGCATACTACTTTCAATTAAAAATCACATATGTGAGAGAAAAGTGAGATGCTTCAAAAAGAATTGTTCAATTCGTAGACCTTCTCGCAAAACCCTGCTATGTCTAGGGGCACTAATGAACACAATAATGAGAACTGAAATAACTTTAGGAGAATTATGTGTGAAGTACATTTAGCATTTATACAAAAGACATAATAGTTCAAATGCATCATGTCTACTAGTCAGCTTGTAAAGTTAATAATAATATACTTTCACAATGGAAAGTCAAAGGGTAACACGTACATATTCTATACAAGTTTCAATTGTTGGACCATAACATTATTTTTAATTTATTCATGTGGGGGATTGTTGGAAAAGTTAGTAAATGGAGAAGTTAGTGAATGAAATTAGTAACAAAGATTGAATTTTGAATTTTGAAACTTTGTGTCTTCTACCTTTAAAACTTGTATTTGTTTTTTAACGTTGAAAAAAATTTCAACTTTTATTTGTTTTAACTGTAATTAATGTGTCTATCTTAAATCTATATAAAGAGTTGTCTTCTTTTGAGGATCAGACACATGGAAGAAAGAAAAAAAAAAAACAAGAATCCTTAGAGTTTTTTTCCCCATTTTTCTTTTTGAAAGCAAAAGAAGCAAATCACAGTGCACAAGAAACGAGAGCAGCTACATGTTTGCCCAAAGTGAGTGAACATTCATTGCAAAAGCTAGGGTTTACAGTTGCTATTTAAATGAAACAAAATGTACCCTCTACTCTCATCCTCACTGTACATTAAACCACTGCACATGTACGTGGCATCATCTGAAGAGAGCTGCATGGGGCCACAGTGTTAAGGGGCAGAGCTGTTATTTCCTTCTTGCATGAATGAGTATCTCGTGTTGGTGATGACATGTACATAGCCATGTTGACTCCTTTTACTTGTTCCTCATTCTTGGCTTGTCTAACATGCCCCCTCAATTCGATCGAGCCCAAAGAAACCACATTAAGCTTATCTCTGAGGCGAGAGAAGGATTGAAGGCTAAGAGGCTTTGTTAATATGTCTGCCACTTGATCATGTGAAGGAACATGATTAATGCTAATGCTCTTTGCCTCAACCTTATCCCTAACAAAATGAATATCAAGCTCTATATGCTTTGTCCTAGCATGCAACACTGGATTTTTTGGCAAGATAGATTGTACTCAAGTTATCTACCCAAACTGTAGGAGCTGCTGTGCCTTTAATTCCAAGTTCACTCATAAGAGACTACAACCAACTGATTTCTGCCACATTGTGAGCAAGGCTTCTACACTCTGACTCAGTACTTGATCTAGACACTGAGTTTTGCTTCTTAGCAAACCAAGAAATCAAGCTATCACCAAGATAAACACAAGATCCTGTCGTGGACTTTCTATCATCATGATCTTCTGCCCAATCAGAGTCTGAAAAACCTGTTAGGTTTAAGTTGCCAGAATTTAAAATGTGCAAGCCATAATCCTTTGTGCCAACTAAATATCTCAAGATCCTTTTTACAGCCTTCCAATGAGTTGATAAGGGACAAGACATGAACTGACTCACCTTATTGACTGAGAAACTGATTTCTGGTCTAGTGATTGTGGCATATTGTAAGGCCCCAACCACTTTCCTGTACAAGGTTTCATCAACATTAGACTATCCTTCAAACTTGGAGAGGTGAAGGGAAGAAACCATTGGTGTTGGACAGCTCTTTGCTTCTGCCATGTTAACTTTGCTCAAAATTTGTCCAATGTAGTTTGCTTGACTTAAGTGCAAGCCCTGTGTGGTCTTAGTCACTTCAATTCCCAAAAAGTGCTGAACTTCACCAAGATTCTTTAAAGAGATGTTTTCCTTTAGTTTGTTGATGACTGAATCTATCAGATGTGAACAATATCCTGTTATTAGAATGTCATACACATAAATCAGCATGTAGACTGTCTTTTTCCCTTGATTCAACACAATTAGAGAGGTGTCAGCCCTTGAGTTTCTGAACTTCATACTTGTCAAAACTGATTTGATTTTAGTGAACCAGGTTCTTGAAGCCTGTTCAAACCATAAAGAGCCTTTGATAATTTGCACACCAGGTTTCTGTCACCTTGTTCAAAGCCATAGGGCTGCTTCATGTAGATATCCTCCTCAAGATCTCCACTCAAGAAGGCATTGTCTACATCCAAATGTTGAATTGGCCAGCCATGAGTAGCTGCAATTGTCATCACCACTCTTATAGGCTTTATGACTGGACTGAATGTATCTGAAAAATCAAAACTAGGAGCTTGTGAGAAACCTTGTGCAACAAGTCTTGCCTTGTATCTTGATATAGATCCATCTGAGTGTCTTTTAATTTTGAACACCCATTTGTTGCCAACAAGATTCTTCCCTTTTGGCAGTGGAGTTAGTGTCCAAGTTTTGTTCTTAATGAGTGCATTGTACTCAGTCTCCATTGCCTTTTTCCACTTATCATCCTTCAAGGTTTCAAAAGGTGAGTTGGGTTCTGTGTTCTGGAGTGCAAGGTTATAGATCTTAGGTTTGTAGACACCAACCTTTGATCTTGTCACCATGGGATGTTGGTTCATTTGGAGTTGACTTTCTGCTTCAGCAGTTGAGTTTTGGTGGTCTTCAGAAATTGGTAGATCAACTATTAAAGGTATAGTTGAATAGCTTGGATTTCCACTTGAGGATCTTTGCTCAATGAGAGGTGACCTGACAATTGATGGTGTTCTGCTCACCTGGACTGCTTCTGTTGATTTTTCTTTGATGCCATTTTCTCTAGCACTTTCAGTGCTGGTTTTGAGAAAGTCTTCAAGAATTGGCAAGGCTGTGGTATGAACATCACTTCTTACTTCTGCAACACTCTTTTCTCTTTCAAGATAAGGAAATGTCCTCTCATAGAAAACCACATTTCTTGTGATAATGACCTTCCTTGAAGGCAGCATGACCTTGTAACCCTTATAGTGAGAGTTGTAACCAAGGAATGTGCTAGGCTGAGATCTAAATTCCAATTTATGTTTGTTAAGTGGTCTAATGTGAGGATAGCATAAGCAACCAAACACTCTCATTGAATTATAATCTGGTTTTCTTTTGTACAGCAACTCAAATGGTGATGTAGTTCAAACCTTTTGCTGGTAACCTGTTTATAGTGTAACAAGTTGTGATGAAGGCTTCATCCAAAAACCTTGCAGGGAGTTTAGCATGATGTAACAAGAATAGTCCCATCTTCACAAGGTGTATGTGCTTTCTTTCAGCAATGCCATTTTGCTGATGAGTGTATGGGCATGAAATTCTATGTTCTATACCACAGTCATCAAACACTTTGGATAGAGTTTTAAATTTTTTTCCTCCATCAGATTGCACTCTCTTAATCTTATAGTTAAGATGATTCTCAGCAAGATTTTTAAAGTGTAAGAAAGCTCCATGTGTTTCACTTTTGTTCTTAAGCAAGTATAACCAAGCAAATCTACTAAAATGATCAACAAAGATAGCATAATACACATATCCATTTGTTGATTTAACTGGTGCAGGTCCCCAAAGATTAGTGTGAATTAATTCAAGAGGAGAATTATAAACAGTTTCAGAAGAAGTAAAAGAAAGTTTATGGCGTTTTGAAGCTGAACACGAATCACATAAACCAGAAATGTCATTGACAGAATAAGGACAATTACATGCTTTTAAGGCCTTCTCAACTATTTCTAGGCTAGCATGTCCCAACCTTTGGTGCCAAAGTTCAAGGCTAGGTGTCCTTTTAAAGGAAACAGAATTAACTGAAAGGTGCTCATTATTCAATGGAAAGTCTTTTGCTGGGTTCTTCAAACTTGAGATTGGATGAAGGTTGAAAAGGTAGAGGCCATCCTTAACTGTCCCCCGGAGAAGAGTGGCTTGATCCTTGACAAGGCAAAAAGAAGGATAGAATTCAAAAAACACATTGTTGTCAAGGGCAAATTTAGACACATTGATCAAATTCTTAGTAACTGAGGGGACATGCAACAACTCTTTTAGTAGAAAAGTCTTGTTATTATTTAAGGGCTTAAGAAGAGCATTACCAATGTGGTTTATAGGAACTCCTGTGCCATTTCCCATTTTAAGTCTGTTTTGGCCATTGTACTCTGATGCAATGCTCATGCTTCCAAGTTCATTGGTGACATGCACTGAGGCACCTGAATCTGGATACCAAGTGCCTTCACTTCCATATTCTGAGGGAGTTATAGTGCTTGAGTAATGAGTGAGGTTAAGTGATGGATTTTTGTTCCCTCCTTGGTGAGTTGTCTGTTGCTGAGGAGAGTAGGTTTGATCAAACCTATACCAACATTGATCTGCAGTGTGGCCTGATATCCTGCAGACTTGGCAAGTAGGCCTACTTCCATGGAACCTACCTCCACTTCCTATGAAATTCTTCCACCAGATCTGTTTCCTCTATTGTTGTGTCCTTCTCTGAAACCTTCTCTAGTTTGTTCACTGGAAAAGTTTCTCCTTTGATTGTCTTGTGTTGCAGTGTTGACAGATGGCTGAGAAACCTCATAGGCATTAGTCATGATTTTGGTATTAACTTCCAGTCTAGTTTCATAGCTGAGGAGCAAAGCTTGCACTTCAGTGACAGTGTATGGCTATATCCTGGAAGTAACCGAGACCATCACCAGGTCATACTCACTGCCCAAAGATGTGAATGATTTTATCTGCTTCCAAAAACAAGCTGTCCAGCTGAGGCAAGATAGTCAAAGCAGATTTTCATTTGGTTTAGGTATTGAGACATGGTAAGACTGTTCTTCTTCAAACCTTGTAGCTGCATTTTGTATTGCATCAATTTTGCTGTGGTTTGGCTGGCAAAGCTTGTTTGAAGAGATTTCCAGATCTCTTTGGTTGTGTTGAGGCCAACAGTTTGAATGAGGATGGTTTCACTGAGAGAAGATAGAAGCCAAGATGCGAGTAGCTGATCTTGCCTCTGCCATAAAAGAAATTCTTGATTTACCACTTGTTCTTGGGAGTCTTGGTTGAGGATAAACTGAGATGAAGGAGCAGCTTCTTCAGTGATAAATTTTTCGAGTCCATAACCTCTGATGGTTGTAAGGACTTGCTGTTTCCAGATCAGAAAGTTTCCTTCATCAAGTTTGGTGGATATTAGCTGGCTTTGAGGAAAAATGAGTGCTGCAGATGCACTTGATGGTGGGTTTTGAACTATGTGCCCATATCCCATGCCAGAATGACTACCTTCTGCCATTGAGGAAGAAAGTAGATGATGACTTTACCAAAAGGATCAATCACGGGTCATAAAGACCTGCTCTTGATACCATGAAAGCAAAAGAAGCAAATCACAGTGCACAAGAAACGAGAGCAGCTACATGTTTGCCCAAAGTGAGTGAACATTCATTGCAAAAGCTAGGGTTTACAGTTGCTATTTAAATGAAACAAAATGTACCCTCTACTCTCATCCTCACTGTACATTAAACCACTGCACATGTACGTGGCATCATCTGAAGAGAGCTGCATGGGGCCACAGTGTTAAGGGGCAGAGCTGTCATTTCCTTCTTGCATGAATGAGTATCTCGTGTTGGTGATGACATGTACATAGCCATGTTGACTCCTTTAAATTGTTCCTCATTCTTGGCTTGTCTAACACTTTTATAGTGTTTTGATCCAAAAATAAGTCCAGCTCGTCGGATTGTATTCGATTTTGCCGTCGTATCTTGAGAAACAGACGCTCATACCGAACAAATTTGTTTTAAGGACACTGCATTATCACAAGCCTCGATATTATATCATTTAGCCATATTATTATTATTTTCCTTATAAAATTTACTACAGATTCTAGCTAGTGAGTGGCAGGCCAAAATTTAAAAACTACTCAGCGATTTTATGGTTGTGTGCCTGCAAAACTGTCTGCATTTATTCATTTTTGGCTTTACATACAACTGACAGAGAATGAGAGAAATAATATTAAGTATATTTTTACTTGATCACATAATCTGTCACCAAAATTAGTATTACTTATACTCGTACATCTTTCTATTTGGTTTGGGATCTTCATATCGAACTTACCTCCACAGCATTAATATGGCTAAATGATCACCTAATATCTTTTATTTAGCATTTATTATGGTTAGTTTGTTGTATTTTCACATTTATTTTCTCATTTCTTTGCTTTTGAATTTAAATTATTAAAAGTCAAATATTTGTATCGTTTGCACCTGCTGAATTTAACTTTTATCATTGTCTTCTAACAATGTTTGTGTCTTGTAAAAATATATCTTAATAATATTTTGTAATACCGAAGAATGATGCAAAATAAAAAAAAAAATTAACAAAATAAAGTTTCACAATAATCACATAAATATGTCATGACTGGGTTGAATATGTATATCATTCCATCCGAGACGGGTAACTCTTGTTTGAGTTTGTGCTCGTTTAATAAACGAATAGAAGGTTTTAACTTGAGTTCTACTAATTGAATTTTACAAAACCTCGAATCGACTTGGTTTGTTTAATAAGCTTAAAACCCTAAACGAGTTAATCGTGAAAACAAAATGTGTTTGCAAACAAGTTCAACATGATTGTGTATTTTATAAAAAAAATACCTACCTAGAAAATGAGTAGCTCATGAGAAATGTCACTTTGGTTCGTTTAATAAACAAACTCGATTAGTTGTTCAAGTTCGATTCATTTAAAATCATACCTGAACCAAACTAAAATCATCGTGGATGTTATATCAAAATGCGATGAACTTTCATACCCCTTCAATTGGATGATCAGTACACAAAATTGCCCATTGTCTATCATAAGTTGAACCTACAAAAACATCACCTCTTGGAGTTGTTTTTGAGAAATGATCGGCTTTTAGCTATCTCGCTAATGGGCTTGTCAGTGAATCTAATTAAGTTATATGCTAATCCACCAGCAATAGTTCCAATTACTGGGCCAATTATATAAACCCATAGGCCTCTGTACTCATGCTTTACTATGGCTGGGCCTATGCTCCTTGCTGGGTTCATTGATGCTCCAGAAATTGGCCTGCTCCCAATATTTAAACAAAATACAGTTTCTCAATAAAATTACAATACTGAAAAAAGATAATACATATATAAAAAAAAATGATATAAATTGATGAGGAAAAAAATACCCGGCCACGAAGACATTTAGCATTATTGTCATTCCAACAGCAAGTCCTCCCAGCTCCCCAATCTGAAATTTCAAATAATAAATAAACCAATCAAAAAATAAATAAATAAAAAGTGGTGTGGCAGAAAAAAAATTCTAAATCTCCAGGATTTTCAAATTGGTAATTGGTATGCATTTCAATTCTACTAAATTTGAATCTTTTGAGCATATATATATATTATTTCATAAAACATTAATGCATTATGAAAATCCAATTACTCCACATACCGCACGGCTATCAGTGGCGACTCCAGATATGACGAACATCAAGAGGAAAGAGATTATGATCTCTATAGCAAGAGATTGCGCGTTAGACCCGACTGGCAGCGTGCCAAAGTAATCTTCTTTCGTGACATCGAACATCAAAGCTAAAGTGAAGCTTGCAAGAAGTGATCCCACCAGTTGAGCCACAATGTACATTGGAAGCTGCATAGACACAAGGCTTAAGGGTTATATAATACATATATTTTGAATTTCATAACAAAGCTTTGAGGGGGACTCAACCAACAAAAATCAATCAAAACTCAAATTTACCTCAATCTCACTATTTTTATTATTATCAGTATAATTAAATAATATCAACTAATCATTCTTACACATCACATCAACTTTAATTCACTATTCATTCACTCACATAATTTTAACTAACCATCACTCCCTAATCATTTTTCTCCTGCTTTTACCTCAAATCAATTTTAATTATTTTATTTTAAATAATATTTTAATGTAAACTTAAATATCCACTAACAACTAACCATACTACATTTTTAAAAACTAACTATGGTTAAAATAAAAAACTAGTTCAATCCATATCCAATCACTCTGTAAATAATTAACATAATCCTAAAAAATCACACCTGCTTCCAAGGAAAGCGGCGAAAAATGGCGAATGTGATAGTAACAGCCGGGTTGAAGTGGGCCCCAGATACGTGGCCCACTGTGTAGACCATCACCATCACAATCGAACCCCAAACGACACAAATGCCCGGGAATGTGATGGTCCCTCCGTAGATTTTGTTGATGGCCACCGAGCCACATCCCGCGAATATCACGAAATATGTTCCGATTAACTCGGCTACCACCTGGAGTTCAGAATTGTGGTCAAGTGTCAACATATTTACCATGATACATTTTTATTTTAAATCGGCTACCACCTGGAGTTCAGAATTTTGGTCAAACGTCAACATATTTACCATGATACATTTTCATTTTAAGTTAATTTAGGTGAATTTCGAACTTATATTATTAGGACTGGTTATTTGAAATTGTAATCATAAGGTCCTCTGATTCAAATAAAACATTGTACATTCTTAATGTAAAATGCACTTCAAAAATATCCTGCATTAATCCTGTTGCTGAAAGATTTTTGTAAGACAGTGTGACTATTGTTGCCCAGGAAGTGAAAGACATGATCACAAAATTTGAATTTAGTGAAGATTCCAAAATGTGGATTCTCCTCAAGTCTCTCATACTTAATCTTCAGTTCTTGTGACAATTTATTGAGTTGTTTTTATTTCAAAAATCATAATGAAAATGGAGTAATATATTGAAATAGGTTGATGTTTAATTCAAAAGTGGAAAGTTAATTTTTTTTTTTCTTAAATAGTTTGGCTTACTTATAATAAAAAATTTTGAATGAAATTTAAAATTATTTTTTATCTTTTTGCGTGAAATTTAGTATTAAAAATTGTATGTCCAAATATTGTCATACTTTTTAGATTTTTGTCCTGTACATAAATTCTAAAAATTATAGGCCAAAACATTGTCCACTTTTTTAGAATAAGTTATGTACCTACTTTCTTGAAAAAAAAAATTAAATATCAATAAATCTGTTTAAAAATGCAAGTATGTTTAAAAATGGATGACAATTTTTGGTATTACGTTTTTCACAATAAATCTCAAAATTTGAAATTAGTGATGTATATCAAAATTCTCAAATTTAATACTTTCAGTATTTAATATTTTACATAGGAAATTATCGTTATAATTAAAGGTCGCGTTTCTCTTCTTTCATTATAGAAATATAATATTTGAAGAAAATAAATTAATTAAGAGTTAAGTGATGATAAAAGATAATTATCCATATAAAAAATTGTTTTATAAGTTAAATAAACGAAAAATATAAATGTTACCAAAAAAATTGTATTTTAAAACTTGGTTGGGTAACCATTATTTAAATACATTACCATATAGAGCGCGCTACAACTAAATAAATACCCGATAGTTGTACAACTACACTATAAACCAATAAAAATATTTAATACACTTATTATATAATTTTTTGGTATAATAAAAATTATTTATTATACTTATTATATGAATTAATAAAAAATACAACCATTGACAAAATATCAAATACATTTCAAGAATAGCATATAATATTTTAAATACTTTTAAACGTGTTAAATAAGTTGTATTAAAATACTTACCGCAGACACATTTCATGTGACTTTACACAGTCTATATATATAAAGAATAAAAATTTAATTGAAAGAGTAAGTGAGACAATTTATTTTAAATTATTTATTAGGATCATTTTTTAAGAAATTTTATTAAATGTTAAAGAAATATATTATCATTCTTTTCTAATAATATGTTAGTTGTTTTCTAATAAATTATAAAAGATAAATATAACTAATATACAATTATTTCACAAGTTTTAATTTTTTTTTGTTGCAAATTACAAATTTAAGTTTTGAACTTTTCGTTCAAATAATTTTTTTAATTATTATATATATAATGATTATTTAATCAGGTACTTAACATAAAATGTGCTCTACAATTTTGCTAATTAATTAATAATAAATGTGATGCAAAAGAAATTATACGATATATTCTAAAACTTTATTAGGCTATAAATAAATGTGAACAAGTGTCGATTTAGTTAATATAATGCCTATATATCTTGAACTTTTATTCTATAATGCTTAAAATTGAAATAACTTTTGTGTTATTTGTATAATCATATAGATTTTTTAATTTATGAGTTCTCAAAATAACATTAATAAATAACAAAACCATTAAATATTATTTCTATGAAAATAGACAATACTAAAAAAAGGTTAAACTAGATTGAGTTTATTAATTCATAGCGTTAGGAAGGATATATAAAATTATCACTTTGTACTAATTTTACAGAGATGTAGACGGATTAGTAAAATTGTAAACATGTTCACTTTTTTTTTATGAACATAATATAATTTCTACTTATTTTTAAATTTAAGTTTGATTTATTTAGCTTAAGTAATATAATTTATCATAAATAATATATAAAATCACTGCTGATATTTTTTATGTAATGACGATAATTACTATGCATTTAACAATTCCTACCAGTTGACTTTTCTGTCCAAATTAAAATTTATTTACGCACTCAAATAGAGATTTCTCAACATTTTTTTGTCGTTCCTACAAAAATCTTGAATGGTTTGTTATCATAATAAATTAATAAACCATGTTTATGTTTCACTATTTAATATACAAAATTAATTTTAATATTTACACGATATTTATTTTTTTAATATTTCTTTTCACATCATAGGCATAACAAAATTATTTTTAATACTACGTATCAGGTTCATCATCTTCCTCATAGTTTTACATCATATCAGATTTAATTATTTTATTTTATATTATTTAATTATAATCTCACCCGTCGCACTCAATTAACTTTGGTCATATTAAATCACTTTACTCAAAATCCAATTTGATCGATTTTCACTGGTTTTTACTAAAAATAATTACATGTCACATAGGAAATACACAACGGCTAAAAATATATATTCTCCAATGTAAGAACAAGTGGCAGGATCTATTAATGTGGCAACAAGTAAAAGAGACTCGACTTAACCTTAAGTCTATTTTAGACCCAAGTAAAACCCGATCTCTTTGCATTTGAGTGAATGTGTTACTTTTATATATTTTGATTCTTGGCATTCAAGACATGAGCCTATCTACACGTCACATAAGCAAAATTACATCCAAACCCAGTAAATGCTCAAGTAATTGAATTACGTCCCAAAAAACTGCCTCCCAATAGTGAAATTGCAACTCTTTAAATAGCAATTCTTCAAAGAACACTTCTTCTTTTAATTTCAGAAATAGAGCTATAAAGTCAAAAGAATTTTTTAGATTTTTGAACATAAAGAAACTCGTTTGAATTGTCTAACTTGTAACTGGGTGCACAGAAAAAAAGTAAAAAAATAAAAAACTATGCAAATCATGGATTAAACATATTTAGATGTTTACGCAAAATCAACTCAGCAGAAAAAACCAAACAAAATGGACCTTTTGTGCAGTGGTAACAACTTCAGCTGACGAACAAAATCCTTGCTTTTTTGTTTCGGATAGATTTGTAATTTCACCCGACTCCAATTTCGAGATCTCTTCATCATCTTGTTCGACCACCTCGATCTTTGACGACGCCATTGTTGTGAGAAAAGTGAAACAATAGATTTTTTTTTTTTTGTTTATTATATATTTATACTATTTAAATAAAAAAAATCTTGTTTAAGCACTTATGTTTTTGAAGATGTTAAAATGTGATGGATTTTGGAGGATGAAATAGGGGATGATAAAGCTGAGTTATTATCCTAATCTTGAGGAATTGTATGACTTAATATTATCTGGGTAATGATCGATAGCATTAACGGATCAGATTTTATTTTTATTTTCTGTTTTTCGTTTATTGGTTTCATAATCTTGGCAAGTTTTTCATTTTGAAGTTAATGTAAAAGCTGATTAACCGGTTTAACGAATTCGTCAAAGATTGAAGGACAAAACTTTATCCAAAACCCCACTTTATCCACTAAACAAAAATGTGCGCAATTTGTTTAGGGAATAAAGGTAATTAATTATTTAATCATTAAGTATGCATAAATTTCATGGCATCGGGAATAAATGTTTCAAATATATGATCTATATATGGTAATGAAATTTTATGGTCGTTACCCTCACATAGTTATGGCTAATGATTTTCTTGAATGTTATGAGAACCGGTCATCAAAATTGGTAAAGTTACTGAATCAAATCTGTCGAACCAGTTTAGTTAATATATAATATAAATTTTTATTTATTATATATATATATATTATATATAATTTTATATATTATTATCATTAATTTTATAGTGTATAATAACATTTCTCTAAAACTTCAATAATAATAATAATAATAATAATTCTGTTTATAATTTATCATAACAAATACTCCTAATTTAGAACCTACATACGGGCCACATGTATAGGTTTAATTTTTTTTTAGATTTTAAATCAAATTTTGTGCATATCATCCCAATTTTTTATTTGCAGTTTGTGGTAAATAACTTGGTAATGTTAATCATTTATCTATACTTATATTAAAGAGGGTACTATTTACCAAATTAAGTAGCCAGAAAAGTTAAAATCATTTATTGCATTACTATTTCCGTATTATACTATATAAAAGGATATTCTATTTACTACATTTACTATCCAGAAAAGTCAACTGCATTAAATGTCATTACTGTTTTGGTATTATAATATTTTATTTATTTAATTTATTTATTTATTTGTTTTATTTTAAAAAGGTAAGTATAATAAAAAGATTTTAATAATAAAAAAATCAAATACCAAATAAAAATGTACACTTTGACTTATTTGATTATATTTGGTATTTGATTATATTAAATATATTCCTATTTAGTATATACATTAAATGCTTACTAAAGTATTTATTTGTTCTATTTGTCAAAGTTAAGTATAGATTTGTTTATATTATCAAATCATAAAAAAATATTAAATCCATATTGTAAAAAAAAAAATCATATAATTTTATAACAATTCTACTACACTATTTAACAATATTCCTTTTTTATTATATAATAAAATAATAATTAAATATTATATGGTGAACAACAATAAGTAAAACTGTTACTTTCTCCTATATCAAGGCATAAAGTTATATGCTAAAATTAAATTTTTATTAGTATAAATGTTTTAGTGAGATAATATATTAATTATTTTACAAGCTAGCCCTAACATGCTCATATTTAATGTTTTAAAAGATGTAGAAAAAAAGCTTATAATAACTTTAATATTTTTTAGACTTAAACGTTGATTAAAAGAGATAAAAATTCTTAATTTTTTAGACTTAAACGTTGATTAACACCATAGATTGAGAGTTTATATTTAGTAAAATTCCTAATTGTAATAAAAAAATTAATTTTTGCTATATTTTAGAATATCTTTAAATTCATTATAAAAAAAAAAAAGAAAAAAAAAACTACAATGAAAAAAGCAAGTCAACTATATATCGATTTGTTGTACTCCTCAAATCATATTCACAATTTGGCTACAAGGAAAGGAAACTCATTGATTAAAATATTATTTTGTCAGTAGTATTAATGTACAAGAGACTTTAAGACTCCACTTGAATATTATAAAACTTTTATTGAACATTGTACAATTTCTTGCGTATTATAAACTTTTATTTAATATTGCATCTTATAATATAATATTCTCTAAATAAATATATCTCGTGCTTTGCACGGGTCACGTACTATATATATCCCGTACATTTTTCTTTATTCATGTATATAGTTATAAGTCTGGATAAATAGCCTTAAAATTGTGCAACCCGTACATCGCACGGACTCTGTACTAGTTTGCTTTTAAAAGGTAACATAATTTTTATAATATCGGTTTTGATATTTGTGCATTTGAAAAGGTAACAGATTTTTTTATAATTTTGATACCTATTTGTGCATTTTATAAAGTACTTAATAATGATATATTGTTTGTTATTAGAATACACAATCTTAAAAACTATTATAATGATTGGATCGATTTTGTTATGAAGTCAACAGTTGGCTTCATAGTGGAGTCAACCTTCTGTATACAACAAGTAAACCATACCATATTCTATGAAACTAACTGTTGGCTTCATAGCAAAACTGATGATCGTGTTTTGATATCGAAAACATTTTATAATTGTAACAACTTTGTAAAATTTGCCTGAAAATATGGTTACATAAATTGGTTATATCGGACTAATTGATATACAAAATCGAGAATGAAACTTAAGAAAATGTTGAGAAATGTTTAAACTAAACTATTCTTAAATATGAAACTTTGCATGAAAATAAAATCAAACCAACAAATCAAATAAAATCTACAATATATGTGCATATAACTGTTTAATTTATAACACTATTTAAATATTGGACGTATTTCAAAATTAATAGTTACGTGATCCTAAATTGAATATTAGATTATAGACAAGACCTTGAATTGGCATATTTAAAAATAAAAATTTTAAAAGTGATCTTAAAATTGGTTAGAATCTTAAGATCACGGGCATTTCAAAATCAACCTTTGAGATAAACATTCATTTATATTGATATGATCATTTTAAAAATTGAATATTATATTGTATGCAATATTTTATAACAATCTTTTAATATTTTTATCAAAATATTTTATTTTTGCATAAGCGATAACATACCAAATTTAATGATAAGAACAGTATAAAGAACGATAAACAACATACTTCTTTTTCTATTAAATAGAAATATTAAAAAAAGAAACTTTTAATATTGCCTGCAGTTGTGCGTAACACAAAATAAACATCCAATAGCAGATGATACAATGTAGCGTGCACAAAAGACGCCATTATCTGATATAACAAATGGTAAATAATTACATAAATTTCTCATGCTTATATTGTAATACAATTTATTTTAATATTTTGTTTTCCTACTTTATAATTTCGTATTGTAGTGCGTGAAACTACAGAGTCATGTACGCCGACGATTAATATTTATTCTAACATTTGCATAAGGTTATTCTATTTCAATCACATCAAACAATTATTGAAATATTGCATAGTTTTTTTTTAAACTATTTTAAATTTGAATTTGAACTTGCAGGTACTATTCAATCATCGCACTGTCAAAAAAATAAATAAATAAATTGAGTACCCAAAATAAATAAATAAAATAAACTATTTTTCCATTGATGTGTTTGGTATGCAAAATGAATAAGACCTGAATGAAATGAAATTATCATTCTATATTATCATTTATCAGTATTTTATAAAAAAAATTAATATTTATATTAATGTTATTTTTTATTTATAATAATAATAAAATTATTTTATTTCTTAATAAACTATACTATATTTTAATAAATATATTTTCGGATTGTTACACTCATATATATTACATAATAAATTAGTGAATTGTGTATTCATATACATATTAACCAATACAAATTTATCATTACATAAACCCCTATAAGCATATGTGGTTGAATATAATTTTTTATATTATAGTTCAAAATATGAATAAATATATAATATATATATTTTAAAATTATTTATAAATGCATTTTTTCAGTATTATTTCTATATAAAATGGTTTAGACATGTGCGTAGGAGAGACTTCGAGACCCGGTGAGAAGGATAGAAACATACGAATTAAGAACGGAAAATAAAAAAGGGATAGGTAGACCTAAGAAAACTTGGAAGAAAACGATAAAAAATAATTTAAACTATTTAAATTTGAATGATGATGTGTTTTGATCGAGCACAATGGCGAGATGAGATCCATATAACCGACCTTGGAATTTTAACAACTTCTTGTTATTGTTGTATAAGTAATTAATATATCTATTTAAAATATGAACAATAAATAAAATTAAGTTTTTAAATTTTTTATTTGTAATTTACTTTTAAAACTAATTTTATGCAATATAATTTAATCATGATTTTTAGTATATGTTATATATTTATTTATTTATTATTATTATTTGTTAATTTTATTGTTTGAAAAATTGATTCCTACAAATATGTGAATAAGAAAACCTTGCATTTGCTATAGAATGGGTAATCCCATAGAGATGGGTTTTGCCATTCCTAATGAAATGGTCATTCCTTTCAAAAAAGTATACCAATCATGGGATAGAGAATGAGTGAAGGAATGATCATTCCATTCTCATGTCATTCATTCATACCAATCATGTCATAAATGCTTCTAATGTCTTAGACGCTTCTCAATTACACCTTGCCTCTCCTGGCAACTAAAAGTCTCACAAGCCCTCCAAGGACTTCACTGCGCTTCGCTTCGTTTGTTTGGTCGAGTTCCGTCCATTAGCTTATGCAATGTGGCCTACAAGCTTATTACTAAAGTATTGTGTTTAATATATATTATCTATTCATATATATTTTACCACGGAGGTATTTATTTAATGTTTTAGTATCAGTCTTTTTACTTTATTCTGTTATGTTTGTGACACAGATCAACAAAGATGTCATGTAATATCAACAAAAAAACTGTGAGTGTTGGAATGAACGTAATAAATCTCGCAAGTAATGATGAGCCTAAATTAAGAATTATTCTGACAGAAACTGGGGGGGAAAACTGGGTGCGGACCCACTAACATGAACGGGGA